GCGCCACTGGCAATGACACAGCCATCTGAAATGTCATAGCTATGTCTCTCAAACTGCCACTCTGAACAACACAAGTGGGATTGTACTTGCTGTGGCACACTCAGCTGCTGTATATCTGCTCAAAACCTTACACACATTACACACCTCTCCTCTGCGTTACTTTCCACTTGAAAATGTTGAACTCAAGTCTTTAAAACAGTGTATGTCCTGGGACAGTATTTAAAAAAAAACTTTCAGTACTGAGACTGTCACAGTCTCACACTTCACTGGAAGGAGGCATTTTTAATTTCCCAATATGAAAATCAGATCATAGCAAGGTAGGAAAAGTCCCAAGCTAAACACTGTCAAGACCCTGCTCTACATTCAGAGTCCTCCTATTTGGAGTGAAGAAAGAGAAAACCACCTGTAACAAAAGGACTGAATTTCAGTATAGGGTGTTGTGGCACTAACAGTCAGAAAATTATATGAGCAGCACCAAAGATAGGCAGTGATGCTGCCTATCCTATAGCTCCAGGATTAACAGCACAGACGCTCCTACAGATAGTGGGCAGCACCCTGTTCAGCACAGCCCAATCCCATTTGAGGAGTATGGTGAACCATCTGCACTGATACAGCTAACACTTCTTGGAAAACACCACCAGATCTGTAGAAATCTTGGTGACTCTTCATTGTCCCCCTGCACTGACACAGCCCTGCATTACTCTAATTGTCAAAATGACAAGTGAAGAATGGGAAGGAGAGACTTCTGCCTCCTCAGGTTTGCTCCCCCATCTCTGCTGGGGATTCCTTTACTGCAAACACCCTGAGTATTATAGCCATTTACAGTAGCAATCACTCCGTCCCCTCCTCTCCCACAAACCTAGTGCTGATATTAGCACTGATCACACTAACAAGCCTTTGGGTTTTATTACTACTGATACTAATAATACTGGACACATTACGTCTGCTCCCACCAATAACAGGCTGCAGATATGATCCCTGCTAATGTCGATAATACTGGGGGATATTATCTCTGCCATTGTCGGCACTGCAGATATTATTGCCAGTAATGCTGTCAAATACTACAGATACTGTCAAGGACCAAGATTAATAATGCTAAGAATGTTACAGCAACAACCTCACTGGAAGGTGAATCCCAAATGAGAATTTAGGTTTAGACAGGAAATCTGTTTGCAGCCTTATTATGGAAAGAAAGGGCTGTGTCTCATAAGAATGGTTTTGTAAAGATTGCTGAAGTTTCACCCAGCTGAAGATGCTGTGGTATGCTGGCAGCAGCTTGATATACTCTTTTCCTGTTATCTAATTATTTATCTATATCTATCTATCTATCTGTCTTTCACTTTCTCTGCATTTCTCCTTTTTTTCTCCTTGTACAAGGAGACTACTATATGAGTAATACTAAGTTTTTGTTAGTGCCTCCAGGTCACCCCAGTTCTCATTCTTTTAGCTGTCAATTAAGGAGTTATGAAAAAGCAGAAATAGTTGCATATTTTTCCCCTTTGTCCTTCTGGATATTGTATTGCTGCTTCTTAGTCTGGCAGTGACTCTGCTGACCATGGTTGACCTGCCATCACAGAGTACCACAACACTCAAACCATAAAGAGCCACTCATGTTTTCTGATGCAGCTTGATAGTGTAAGACCCTCACTGGTCTTGAGAAAGTCATTACATGCCGCAGGGTGACCTCTGCCTTTGGAAGATGGTGGGTGTAAGTGATGGTGGGTGTAAGGTCAGAGGGAAGTTACAGCTCCACTGGCAATGCCCACAGACCACAAGAAATGGCACACGTGCTACACAAATGGTGGTGAACTTTTTAGTCAAATTATTTTCAAAATTGCAGGAGTTCGACTCTATCACAGAAGTCAGAAGTTTTGCAATCACTGGTTATAAACTGAAACAAAAGTGTAATTTGGTCTTAACAAGGCAAATCCTGACCACCCGTTCTTGGCATTCACCTGAGGAAGACATACTGAGTTTTGAGGAAAGACTCACGGCCAGACAGTTCCTTGTTGTGACTAGTAGACACTCAGAGCTGCTTCCCAGCTAGTCCTCTCTCAATGTCATACATCACCCAGGCCACCCTTGCACTTCCAACCAGTGTATTTGGTAGGTTGGGATTCCCACTCTTCCCTCTAACTCCCTGTGAGGAGCACACCTGGCTGTCAGCGTCCATCTCTGAGCCCACCTCTTGCATCTGTCTTGCTCCTTCTGTCCAACTCGGGAGTTCTGCTACATCATCTTGACACATAATTATCTCTCCTCTTCTTAATCATCTGTGCTACTGTCTAATGTAGACACCAGCTGCAGCAAGGAGGACCTGGGGGAGGGGGTGTGCTCACATAGGAGCTTCTCTGTCTTTCTCCCACCCCGTTCCCCCCAGCCATCACAGAGGTTGCTAACAAGGTTTTCAGAACTGGTGATTCAGGAACAGCTTGGTACTTCCCCTTGCTGCTGAACTGCATTCCTCACAGAGGAATCCTTGCAGCAGAGCTGGTCCAACAGAGCGGAAAGAAAGAGAGAACAGTGCTGCTTCTTCTGCCTCCTTTAGGGAAGAACCACTCCCTAAATGCTTGGAAAGTAGATGTGCAAAGCTCACAAGGGCTTTTCAATGTGAAAATAAAAGCTGAAGTTAAGAAAGAAACTGCAAAAAAGTGTTCAGAAGCTCTGAGAAATACTAAGAAGGTGTATGCATCCAGCATGAATATGAAAGAAATATTCACATTATATCTCTTGACACACTTTTCCTACTCCCCATCTCAACTAGAAACAATCAGAATGCTCAGCGCTACAGAGGAGACTGCCCAGGAATGAGTGTGGATCACTGGCTTTGCAAAACTTCCCCTTGGACCCTTCTAATCTTAGGACTCAGCCCTGCAAAGGGACAATTTTTCAGCATTTCTGAAGGCCAGTGTGAGTCTAGATAACTCAACTTATGGTTAGAGATGTTCAGCAGCTAGCTGGGGGTCCCATGTGAGTTTTTTCTGGGTCAGGAGCACAACGTGTCCCTGCAGCAGCTATCTGGGATGGCAGGATTAAGGCTGTTATCTAAGGCAATTGCAATCATGTCATGTAACTGCCACCTAAAATTCTGAGAGCTAAAGACAAGCAACATCTGCAGGATTGTCGGGTTGGTACCTTTTTGATTCCTAGTGGGATATGGGTGCTTGGCCAACAGCAAGGAGCTGCATAGTGTCACTTGCCTAAATCAAATCTGGAATGAATTAAGGACAGACACAAAGAATAGTTCTTACTGTCAATATATCATTGTGATGTGTCACAGTCTTAGATGGCTGTTGTGTCGTTTCTGTGTTTAATTGTACTGTTCCAAAGAAAGCTCAGGTTCTGAGGCTGGAAGTGACTGTGTGGCTGCATTTAAAGTGGGATGATCTTTCCAGGTATAGCCTGAATAGTAGCTAAAGCCAGACTGAAAAGCTTAATTTCTAATGAGATGTGGAGGCACCATGTTGAGAGATGGTGATCACCACACTGGACTGTATGAGAACAGGGATTCACAAACCCCCAAATAACTGCCAGGAATCTGCACAACTGTTACAGAAACGTGTCATTCAGTTTGAAATGTCACTTTTTCCTGCCATCGTATGTAATGATGGCCAATGCTGGAAAGGTTTGCAATACTTGTCTCTTATTCCTGACATTTTTTGACTTTGAGGCATTGACTCAGCCCTTCCATTGCTACACTTTTTTCTTAGCTGGGCCCTACTGCCATCTAGCTGGGAAATGGATCTTCCTCTGGGGCCCCGATCCAGTTTCCAGTGACATCAGCAAAAATCTGCCCATTTGCTTTACAGAAGCTGGATTGGGCCCTGGTATCTAGTTTTAATTTGTATAAGGGAGAAAGGGAACATGATGACTGCCTTTTCTTCTCAGGATTACTGTGTTTATTTGGATCAAAAACTTACATATGTGAACCTCACCAGAACCAATACTGAGAAAATTACTAGCAAAACCTCAAAATGCAGCATCCGTCTCAGGAGAGCTTTCTCTTCTCAGCACATATCACAGAGAACTCTCGTGTTCTCTTGCGCTGCACAGCATTGGGATTACAGCACACACAGCACACTGAGCCACCTGTCCTAAGAGGTCTTTCCATGCAACAAGCAACACAACATACTGCAGTCAGAGCTGAACCCAACAAACTGGCCAGTCAGTATTCTTTAAAAAGTTCACCTCCTGGGCCTCAGTTTTAGAACAAATCAAATTTAAAAAGACAGATTTAAGGAAAAGTGTTTGAAAGCTACCATAAGAGCACCAAGACCTTACCCACCCCTCCTGACTCAGTCTATTTAGACCTGAGGCTCAAGCTTTTGATTAATTTCAGGATCTTTGCCCTGAATACTTCACAGCAGGTAGGATGCCAAAGGAGAGAGCTTAATACTATTTCATTACAACCTTAGCGAAAGGCTTAGAAACAACCTTAGGATCACAGTACTCAGAAGACTTCCTGTTCTCCTTTCAGACTGTTGCAAGCATGACAGTTCTGCTGTGGTAGATGCTACTTATTGAAAACTGGGCCCTTGTGATCACCAGCTAATGTAGCTCGTGGCACATCACAGGGCAGGAACTTGTTTGCAAGGGGAATGAAAGACAACTCCCACATTGCTGGTGCTTCTCCAAGACGGCATTTAGTTTGAAATCAAGCGAGTCAGGGAAACCATGTTTACCCACAGTTCAAAGTCCGGGCACCTGCTGGCACCTGGGGAATTCAGTTCCAGCCGTTTCCAGCAGTGAATGAACTTGGGATCAGCTCCAGCAATGGAGACGGCTCTCTGCCTGCTGAGCAGATGTCTGGAGACGCAGCCTGTCATGAAAGGCCTCGGAAGAAGAGCATTCCAAGCCAGCAGGGCAGTGGCGGGGAACTGGTCTCTGTTGCTAAAACTGATCTAGCCCCTGGAGCAGCTGCAAACCTTGGCCTGAAATTGGAGCCTGTACATGGGGACAAAGAATATAAAAGGGAGGATGAGCTTCTCCCCTCCCCCTACCTTCATCACGTTTCCTCTTCTCGCCATTCGACCGAGGAATCCCCAGGATCCCGTTAATGGAGTAAGAGCCCACTGGATCATTGGAGGCACTGGAGACGGGAGGGGATGCTGTGCTGGGCACTGGACAAAAGGAAAAGGGGAAAAAGGGCCATCAGGAGAGCAGCACAGCACTCAGGGATCCCCAGCTGAAAGCTATGCATGCCACCAGTCTAATAGGAAAGCCTGGGCACTAAGCAGATTCCCGATCCCTCATGCTGAAGGACTTACTCTACTGTATCCCAGCAAAGCTGCGTCCCAGCTTTGCTTGTTCACTTCTGCACTACAGCTTCACAGCCTTCCAATACAGGGCCATTGATAACAAGTAAGGGTATTCCATCAAGAAGCTAAATGTTGTTACGTCCTAGTTCAGAGCAGACTTTCAAGGTAATGGAGTGAAATGCAGCATAGGCCACATTCTCTAGTGACTTCATAGTCCACCCATATATTACCAGATCATTTCCTCTCAGTATTTTTTCACTAGGAGTGCACATGCTCTGTCTTAGGCAGAGTAGCCTCCTACTTGCCCACCTGAAACACTTAGTGAAAAAATTACCTTCTTAACATAGGTTGGAAGCACTTCACTGCTGGCCTATTAAATTCAGTTCCCTACTGGAATGACTGGGTGATACATGCTACCACCCAGATTAAAGAAAACCTAGTGCCTTCCTTTAGTACTGACCAATATCAATAGGCAGAATGCTCTGGCCACTTGGCTGTCCAAGACTGCTCATGAATTTCCAATATATCAAAAGTGACAAGTAATCCAAATTAGAAATGATCCCTTCATGATAATCAGGCCTTTAGAAAATAGACCTGTGTATCCAGCAGGCATACCTATTGTGTCCCAGTGTGTCCCAGTAATGAAAGGAATATCCCAGTTCTCTTACAGGCCACTATTCATCATTCAGCTCATAAAGCACTGACCTGAAGCAATCAATACATCCAACAGAAGCCTTTCAGGATGGAGCAGAACCTTTAAACACTCTCCAATGTTGACCCACTTCCTAGAACATCCCAGAGCAATGAGAGACTCCACTAGAAGCACTCACAATCACTGTCCAGCTCAGCCATTGCATTCCCTGGACATTGCACTACTGTTCCAAGAAGGAATCTGCCAGCTCCATCTGTCCTGATCAGTGATTGCCAGTCCAGTGAGCAAGTTTGTATTAAAAGGGCACCCAGAAATGTTCTTCCATATTTGCTCATTGTAATTCTGGATACAGTTTGTGTACAGGACATCTACCAGCTCTGTCCCATGCAGAGGAGGATTTTCTGGTAAATCCTTGTGTAGCAGAGATTATCAATAACCAACAGAATCTAAGAAAGTCTTAGGCCACAAATAAACCACCATTTTTCACAATATCCCAGCATACTGCATGTTTTTCCTGCACTAGTTTGTCACTAGATAAAGCTATGCTAGCAAGAGCAGACATATCCACCACACAGCCCACAGATTAGAAAGTATCTCATCACACATCTAACACAGACTAGGAGGCATTTGGTCACTGTATTACAGCCCCCATCTTCTGTTCATCTCAACAAACCAGCAAAACATCTCCCACAGTAAAAGAAATATGTACTTTCTCCGTGAAATATACCCATGGGACTGCAGAGCTAGAACAATAAAGAACTTAGTTGTGAGGCAGCTGGAATATCTTACCTATGTTTGTGTATTACTACCATTAAAAAATGGACCATTTCCATCAAAGGGAGAGGAGAAAAGAAAAAGTGGTTGGGAGGAAAAAGAGAGTCAAGGTAAGGACAAGGGAAAAGCTGAAGACTGATGCTTAGACAGGACAGCAGTAAATGCTTCTCTATAAGGAGATGAAGGAGAGAGCAGGAATGTGAAATGGACGTTAAGGCAGAATCACTTGGGCAAACCCCTGCTTTGAGTTAGTTTCCCTGTGATTCACTTCTCTGCAATGCAACAGGGGAGACAAATAGAAAACTCTGATTTTCATGGAGGCTTCTTTCCCTCCACCCCTCCTCCCTTTTGCTCTGCTTAGCATCTGCTTGTCAGACTTTGTTCCCTCAACTAAGCTTCATCCCCATTTCCACTTGACCTGTCACCACCCCTCATGCCAGTCTACTTACCAATAGTGTGTCCTGGTGCAGTCACACCTGCCCCACTCCCATCTGGTGTTGGGTGAAAAGGTTGCTGAACTTTGGTTCTGATGATCCTGGAAAAGAGTGAAACGCGTTCAGAACTCAAATGCATCTTCTCTGTGCCTTTGCAGACCCACAGTCCCAGATATCAGAACCTGAAGGCTCGATCTGAGCTCTCAGTGCAGCAGAGTGGTTTCATTTGCCTTGTGATCCTGGTTCTACTGCTTTAATAGTCCAGCTCTCAGAGAATCATCCTATTTCTGCTCTGTCGTCTTTATCCCAAACTTGGGTGTTCACTGCATAAGGATGGTGTTCAGTGAGCAAGCTAGGATCTTCTGTGTGTTAACAGCTGCATTGTCATTTATCGTCTGATCTGTGAGCATAATCACAGTGCAGTCTTCACAGCTAATACAGACATGGCTGAATTTACAAATGGAGTAGCTTTAATTTCATTGTCTACCTGAAAAATACCCTTCTAACTGACTAAATGCTTTGTCCTGTGGAAGGTTTGCCAAAAGCCCTTGCCTTTCATAAATGAGGTGAAATCAGAAGGCATCTGCAGGGACTAGTGATGGGATATAGAGCACCAGGAAAAAAAGGTCCATCAAACAGGGCAAAAATTGGTGTTTGTCAGGTGGTGAATGAATACAGCATGGGAACTCAAAAAGACATCACAAAGCTTATAATGTAGCTCAGAATGACAACAAACTGAACTGTAATTGTCAGTGCTCTGTTTCTTGTTACATGAAATCTTTCACCTCTAGGTCACCGGTTTAAATCCAGCTGAGGTCAGTGGTGAAAGAAAATCACTAGTACCTAGTACCTGACTGGCAAGGTCCCTGACTACTGGCAGATATTGGGTATCTATGAGTTGGGAACAGCTGTTCCACCAAGGAATTCAGTAAATGAGCCATGATCTGTGAAGGCCTTGGAAACCACCTTCCTTTCTGAGATTAGAAAAAGCCTCTCCTCTCTTCAGCCACTCTATCTGGGGTGTAGGCTGCAGATTCTATTCAGCCTGAGCTTCTGGAACTCTTAGCTCTGCATTATATTAGCTTTATTTTCTACTCAAAAATCTCTCCAGAAAGTGAAAGCAAGTAGAAGATTCTTCCTGCCCGCTTGAGAGCTTCCCTTAAAAATCTGTTCTAAAGAATAAGTTGGCAAAATTTCAAAGAGTAAATGTGTGGCTAGCGGGTGATATGGCATGGATGGAGATAGGCAGAGACATTGTGGGGGCAATTTTTAAAAACCAACTTCTAATTTTTAAAAACTACTTCTGAGAATGAAATCTTCTTAGAAAAAGAAAGAGAACATCTCACCTCAGCATGTCAGAAAACTCTGCTACAAGTTTGATGAAGCCTGACCAGTAGCTGGAGTGCCTGGGACATAGCTGGAGACAGAGAATGTCAAGGTTCTAGCTGAGGATGGACATCCAGATCCTCACTTCATGTAGATCAGTGGTACCAGATGCCCTAATCTATAGTTGCTGAGAATCTATACAAAAAGTGTTTGAAGGCCTCAGGGCCAGATTCTGAGGTCATACGATTTGTACTAGGTGAAGAGCTGATCTGAAAAGTGTACTACAGCAAATAATATAACTTTTTTTCTTCTTTTCTGTTTTTTTTTTTTTTTCTTTTTTTCCCCTCTTGTCTCACATTCCCCCTAAAACCCCCTGAAGTGCCACTCTGGTTGTGTGAGTTTATTGATTTCCCCCAGCCCAGAGAAACAGAAAAAGGGGATGGGGTGCAGGCAAAGGGATGGAAATAGAAAGCTATAAATTATTTGTGACAGGAAAGCAATAGTGCCAGAGTGCTGAGCACAAGTCCCGTGTCACTATTAGATTCCTTTTAGCCTGATGACACTGTAAAAGAGGTTAAGTGTCTGATGGAATCGTACACCTTGGGGGCAGGGGCAGTCCAGGAGCAGAACAAGCCACAGAGAGCGGGTATATCAATTCTCCACGCCAATAATATTCCCCTCATTGATCGCAACACAAAGTTCAAAAATCTCATTATAGCTAGGCAGTCCTGGAACTTTTTTAAAATCAATAGAGTGATATAATATATGTATACTTTGTATAAATGTTTCTATCCATCCATCTATCCGTCTATCCAAAATCTGCCTGAGGGTGTCTAAGTTAACCTACACATTATACTGTTCTATTGTAGTGTAGCATGGTGAATGGATTAGAAGATTTCCCCTGCAGCCTTAGATGACATATTATAAAATGTCCTGTTAGCACTGAGGTGACATCAGATGGTTCCATTCATACTGAGATATGACATCAGATTTGCCATTTGTACTGGGAGATGGCACCAGGCAGCTCAGCTTCTACTGAGGGGAACCATAAGATGAGTCTAATTATACTGAGATGGCAGATCAGGCTGTGCTGAATCATGCTGCATGAAAATTGCAAAGTTTCAAAAACCCATTTAGAGTAAAAACAGCCTGTGAAACACTGCAGGTATAAAATGCCTGTCCATAATATTCCAAAACCCAGGCAGGGGATGAAGAGGAAGGTTCAATTTCCTTTCCCATTCAGTTCGAGGTCTCTTGGCTGAGAATACCAGTTAGTGCCAGTTGTGACTGTGTTTACTGAGATGTGTCCATTAGGAACTGGAATGAGACTGACCAGCTCATTGCACCAAGTAGCTGTCAGCTGGTAATGATTTTCGGTCACTACCAAGCAGGGCCAGATTTCTGCTAGTGACCCAGAGGTGAAAGGCTCTGTTCAGAAACATTCCCTTCCTAAGAACGAAACCGGTCTTATGTCAAAAGAAAGTGTCCGGAAACCGTGAGCAGAGGAGAGCAGTTCTGGTTGTGCTGCCTCCAGTGGCTTGGGTCAAATAATTTTTGGCATCAAATGCACAGTGAACCTAATGAGGTATCGGGTAGAACGTATTTTCTATGGCTAAAAGAAGAGACAGGTCTTGAAAAGACTCTCCCCAGCAGTGTTCCTTCACCCTGAAGTCGTGACTCAACTGCAGTGTTTTAAGGAAAGAAGGGAAATTTCAGGACTCTAATGCTTAGTGCAGAACACGGCGGTGCATCCCCCTGGGTCGATTCACTTAGGGACAGTGATACACAGCAGAATAGATAGGCAGCACTGCCGCTGCTTTGAGAGGCTTCAAGTGAGTCTGTCCTACAAAAGACCACCTAATGAAACAGCAGATGAGAGATGAACAGAGCTGACCTGGCCCCATAGCAACAAATGCAGCATAATAATGCTGTCTTTAAACTTCAGTGTTGCTGAAAGCTTCTCACCCTTACCAGGGATTGAAATACGCACTAAGCCAGCTCTGCTGCCTCAAATCTAGGATTTCTGGATTACTGCTGTATAAGAGGTCACAAAATCTTCATCACCTCTTGCTGTCTTTGATAGGTTCTTCTTGCCTTCAGACACTGGAGAAAGACAAGTCTTGCAGAGTACATCCTCAGCCCTTCCCAAAAGCCAAAGGGACACAAGTGCTGGCACACCAGTTAGCAGTGCTGATTTCTTGAGATAAATGACAATATTTTCAAACATCCCTTCCAAGAGAAATTGACCCTTTGGACTAAATTCATCCCTGCTCTAATTCCATCACAATCTGTGACTCCAATAACAACATTTGTATTTAATTAGGAACACAAACTCATACTTACTATAAATTCCCATTTTTCATTTTCCACTGGGAGATTTTTGTACAAGTTGACTACTTTGAGTTTTGGATAATATAAACAGATTTAATACATAGCCTTCTGAAGTTTCAGCAACAGGACATTTATAGATCTTTGATTGCAGTAAAGCAACTGAACTTCATTTCACAATCTGAATTTAATATGCAATATTATGTTAAGTGATGGCATATAATGTCATTACAGTAAATAGTATCGTATTGTGAATTATACATCCATCCTGGAATTCATGAGTTGCTATAGTTGGCTTGTAGTAACTCCTTCTAGACTTAATATTACATACAGCACCAGCTGAAAACAACTGCTTATTTCCAAATGCCTTTGACTTTCTTAAATGTTCAACATTAGATCATCAATTTCCAATGTTTGATTTATATTTCATTATTTTTGTCAGTTTTAATGGAATTCCTTTTCCTGACTGTGAATACAGATGGAGAGAGAAAAACCTTCTCTTCTAGTATTACAATTGTAACAAGCTCTAATCAAGAGATGCAACAAGAAATATTAGAAGTTAAAATTAGCTGAGCCAGAGTACTTTCTGAGAACTTTCACTCCATGTAAACAAGCTAGTAGAAAATCCCTTCTAAACTTGTCCAGAAATTACTTCGTAAAAGAACATAGAAAAGATCGCAGAAAACTCACCTTGCTTCTCTGACATTTCTGCCCATACTCTCTTAAAACCTAACATACTCTGTGGTTTCTTCTCTCTTACTATGGCTGGCAGAGTGTTTTGACAGTATCTCAACTAAAAAAAAAATCATTCTAGGGCTGATCAGAGGGAGATAAAGTGGGACTGAATAATCTGGAGTCACAATCTAGCAATTCTCTTAATCCTGGAAGAACAGTGTGAAGTTGAACTGAAGGAACGATTGGTGTGTCCTACTGCCTCAAGAAGACCCTGACAGATTTCAGAAAGCATTGGTGTCCTCACTTTGATCAGATTCCATTGTCATGGATTATTTTTGAGGGTGGAAGGATACACTCAGCAGAGCACCAAACTCCTTGTAATTGTTTTGGAGTATTCATATTTTAAATGCTCCATATTAGAAGCACATTACAAGACCCCAGGGTGTGCATTACTGGGCAATTAAAGCGGTTCTTGGAAGGCTAACATTGTGAAGCTTCAGCCTTTTCTCTGCGCTGTGTCCAGGGGAGGCTGTGATGGCCAAGGCACACACACCCTGCTGTGCCACGCTGCTTAATTAGTGCTGGGCTGTGCCGCTGAGCCCGGGCTGTGCCGGCGCCGCGCACAAGGCAGCCTGGGGGCACACGGGGCAGGGCTCTGTGAGACACACACCTTCTCTGCATCAGATGGCTTCCCACAAAAGGGCTGGTGACCATCCCAGTGTTGCTGGCAAAGAGAGACAGCATGGGATGAGGAGAGGCAGCTTTGGGATCT